TACAAGCACATTATAATAGCATCTCACCCCTCATCGTTTCACTTGGTACTAACATAATTTCTAGTTACAAGCACATTATAATAGCATCTCACCCCTCATCGTTTCACTTGGTACTAACATAATTTCTAGTTACAAGCACATTATAATAGCATCTCACCCCTCATCGTTTCACTTGGTACTAACATAATTTCTAGTAACAATCACATTATAATAGCATATCTTCGCCCACCCTCATCGTTTCACTTGGTAATAACATAATTTCTACAAAATCTAAACGAAGTGTTATGATGTAGTTCAACGATTCAGTTGCAGAAGTAAATAAAAACTTAACTTAGAAAATTAGTTTGAGTTGAGATCCCTAACCATCTGGCTTATCTAAAGTTACTAAGTTATCATACTAAACTACAAGCATTTTGACATTAGCATCTTCTTTATTTGACCGATGTCTACAGCATAAACCAAAACTATTCTGGGTTTATGTAGCATGACTGTAATTTCAAGTTACGAAACACTCGTAACAGATAATATTATGCCAAGAATTATGAAGTGAAAATTCATTTGACCGTCCAACTACAAAACATTAGCAAATTCATCGTGCATATTTATAGTTTTAACGCTAGTTATAAGTTAAATTGGAAAATATAATTGAGACTCTTAAGATACAGTTTAATAACTTGATATCGTCTTTCAACATGGTTCTTTCCGAACTCCAGATAATATTTTAAAGAAAATGATATCCAGAAATTAGTGTTAACAAAATGTTTGTTGTTCAAACACTTTACTTTCTGTTAAAGGTTATACGTCATTAACGCTGCAATCACAGATACAAGCGAACTTCTGTCATTGTAACATAAATATAAATGTGGTTTAGTGTAAACTATAAAAGGTTAAGATGCACGTTTAATAGAAAACAATTCTTATGAAACATCAAAATGGCATAACCTGATAAAAGTTTTGGTTTTCCAAGAACTTCGATTTGAACTTAACGCCCCTCCCTCCCCAAGGACAGAGTTCACATTATACAATTTCCCAAAACTACTGAAAGTTTGCTTTCTGCTCAGAAGGATAGTTTTTCTATCAAGGTTTGATCCACAGATTGGTGAGCTTATTCCAGAGAGTTCTCCGTATGAAGAAATTTCAAAAACAAACAAATTTGTTGCTTCGTGTTACGACACTCTGTCGCTTCTGGCAAATAGAGATAAGAATCTCTCGTGCAGCTACGGTCCCAATCAGGTATATATATAAGGGTGTCGGTAGCCATGGACATAACGTAGTCCGAACTCCGAAACAATCATTCTCAGCAGAAGTGTTAACCAATTCATTGACTTTTTATTTTTCGATCGAGAAGCTTTGGAAGAATTCAACACGATGAAGGTAAATTGAACAAATGTAGTTTATAGAAAACTTTATAAAAAAAATTTTCACTTGCGTATTTCTAACTATAAAGTTATTTTGTAGAATAGAGTATTAAGTTCCGTTAATAGCAGTAATTTTCGTTTTTATTACAGATCTGGTTCATTTTTATACTCATCTTAGGAACGGTAGGTTATACAGTGGCTGGAGACATTAACCAACCACTTTGTTTATGTGAGGAGCCAGAGGGAATTTTGGGAAGAAAAAACGTTGTTACCCCAGAAGTGCAGGAGTAAGTAATAAATACGTAAACATAATGATAATTAAACAGTTCAATACAAGGGTTATATTATCATATTCTTATTAACTGAACTTTAAGTTTATTTATGTTTATAACCGAACAAGACTTCTCAATTACATTTTGAATACTTTTTCTGGTAAAACTGCGTCAATTTGTTTTTTTTTTATCTTACCTTTAGAAAAATTGAGGAAGAGGTAAAGAATGCTTTAGAGGCCGAAAAAGATGAGGGAATTTCGGGACGAGGACTTCCCTTGTTTATCCGACTGAGTCGAGAATGTGGAACTCAAAACTGTCGTAATGAGTGAGTTAGTCGTATCTTTGTTTAATGTTTTCTTCCCTAATTGTATTTTAGCCGGACAATCTAAACTGTATTTGATTGTACTTTGTACACATACTCAAAGCACACAGCTAATTTAATATTTTATCATATTATTTTGATTTATATTTTTCGAGGATCATCATTAATAATGGTGATCGTTTACAGTTTTATTTTATTATTCTAATTTAATATTATATCGAATTTGTTTAAACTTGAAAAACGACACTTAATTTAATTTTCTCTTGACCAACTTAAGTAAAACAAAACATGACAGCTTTATTCTAACACCGATATAACAACAACATACGTGTAATAGTGTTAAATTAGCGATAATAAATTGGTTATAAACACTTAAAACCAAAGTGTTGACGACATATGGCTAAAGGTAGAATATTTTTGTATCTCGTAATTATGTTCTTCTTGTGATTAACTGTTATATAAACGCTGTTCGGAATCTTATATGTTGGTGTTTTTCTTACATTTCCAGTCCGAGTGTGGACCGTTGTTATAATTCTCTCCCGTAAGTATATTTTCTTGAACTTTCAGATTAAATATTTATCAGATTTGTTAACAAACTTATTTGATTCAATCTTGTCTAGAAACTACTAGAATATCTTATTGTAATATCAAAGGATTATATCAAAAACCTTATAAAATTTCTATAATCATGATTTGTTAACCTTCAGCATCCCTGGATATCCACGACAGTGTTCCGTCTTCAACGAGAAATGTGAACCTAATTTTGGTTACAACACAAACGGAGATCTCCGCATCATAGTTCAAGCTCCAAAAGCCGGCTTCCGTCAGTGCCTCTGGCAACACAAATGTCGGTAGGTTTCAGTTGTTTTTAATCGTTTGTTCACGGTCTCAAACGGTTTGGCATTTTAAATATGATTATTTTTATTGTATTTAATACATGTTTTATTTGTTCAGTGTAGAAACATATATAATGCTAATTCAAGAAGTAATTACCGAAAATATTAACTTTACTAGGAGTTCTAATCTCTTCTGATAATATCGACAAATAATTGTGAATGTTTTTGTTTTTCATCAGGATAACTAACGGACTGTGTGGTACTTCTGGACGATGTAGACAGAGTCGTAGTGCTATCCGTCTACTGACCTACAACTTAGAAAGTGGAACTTTCCATTGCGAGCAGTTCCAGAGATGCTGCGGTTGTCCTTGTAGCCACTGAGTTTGGGAGCATTCAGAAGTTTTTAAACATTAACCCAGTGACTTTGTATTAATTACATTTACCTTGGTACTTATGTACGTGAATGAATATGTAATTTGAGTATAAACAAACTATTTTAGAAACAGTTTTTTGTTTTCTTTTATTCAGGAACTGTGCATATACGAAACGTTCTACATTACGTTCGGAAAGAAGCTTGAAAACAAATGTAGCAGACATGAGTTTCTGAAATATCTAACAGTTTGTATTCGTATTTGATCTTATATTGTTGTATCTTATTTTACCTTATCTATGTTTTTGTATATCCATTTTCCCTATGTAAATAAACAGTTATTTTATTAAATTGATTGCTTTAGTAGTCTGTTGAATCTGTACTTATTCAGCATGAGTGCCTCCTTGACCAGTTGGTTATAACTCTTCCCCACCTATATTGCTCTAGGGTGCACATGGCTCCCCATGGTGGCGTTATAATGAGGCACTACTGTATCTTTAAGACGTTTGTGGGGAAATGGATTTTATCTAGTGATGTTTAGAGTACAAAACATAAAAAAAAATCATTGTTGTATCTAGTGGTTATAGCTAATGCCTCCCTAGACTCCACTTCGCAATAAACATTGGCTAACTACATGTCTTGCGAATTTCGTAACCTGTGTTTCATGCACCTGCGCAGATGTAACAAAAACACTAAGCACAGAATATACTAATATCGCAGAACTGTATAGCACGTTATTTACATTTTGGGTGTACGTATTTTTCCACGAGCAGTGCCATCTCTGTTAATTAAACAATCACATGATCAACACTTTATACACTCAATGATCTAAACGTGCTGATCAACAACCTTTTGGTCTGTCAAGACCCGATGGTTAGGGCGCTTGACTCGCAATCTGCGGGTCGTGGATTCGAATCCCCGTCACACCGAAGATGCTCGCCCCTTTAAGCCGAGGTGGGCGTTATAATGTGACGGTCAATCACACTATTCGTTGACAAAAGAATAGCCCAAGAGTTGGCGGTGTTGACTATCTTCCTTCCCTCTAGTCTCTCGCTGCTACATTAAAGATTGCTAGCGCAGATAGCTCTCGAGTATCTTTGCACGATATTCAAATGGCAGAGCTTTGAATGCGGCTGCCACATGTTCGTAGCGTTGACAGTTGTAACACCGGGTTACAACATCCGCTGGTGTTTTGGTAGGTTCAACGGTGTATTTTTTGATACCAGAAAATGATACCATTTGATATCACGCTCTGGTATATTTTGTTTGTTTTTTTTTAATTATGCACAAAGCTACAC